TGGACCAAACATAGGTATCCTGTGGTTCACGGAGGCTGCCCAACAAACCCTGTAAGGTTTGCCTATATCCTTGTACTTATTGATGGGCATTCAGTACACAATCTAGGGACTAGAGAGTGGAAGGAGATCCACTGAAAACCATCCCCTGCCTTGGATTTGTCCTTTTCCAACCACCATTCCTCCAGTGACCACCTCCCTGCATCCTGCACTCTGCTCCACTCACTTCATTTCCAGAGATCTGGCTTTCATCCTCTGAGTTGGCCTCAGAGACTCAGAGAATGTCCATTGTCTGGGAGCCTCAATTGAATGGGTGGCCCAACAATTGCCAGTTAACTGTCTGAATGCACCTAAATTTCTTTGGGTCACCTGCACAGTAACAACATGTTGCTGATTCTTCCATTCATTCTCTAACTGCATACGGGGAGGAGATTGGGGGTGGGGGGGGTGCGGGTGGTTGGTGGTGGTGTGCATCATGGGAACCAAACTCTGCCCAGTGTCTCTCTATCTAGCTTATCCGTTCCTCTTCATGTCTTTTAAAGGCAAAATTCTTTGGAATTGTTCGGTTCTCATTATATTAGTTATATCAGTTCTGCAGAAGAGTCATACTGGACTCAAACACAGAGGCTGCCAAATCTGCTGAGTTTCTCTCGCATTCTCTGTGTTTGTTTTCTCTTAATATCTTGACATCTTGAATCCATTTGTCCCTTAATATTTTAAATTCCACAGAGCACACTTCTAGTTTGTGTAAAAAAAACAGAATTTGCTGGAAAACACTCAGCAATTGTGGGAAAAACTCAGCAGGTCTGGCAGCATCTGTGGAGACAAAGCAGAGTTAGCATTTTGACTCCACTGACCCTTCTTCGGAATCCTTCTTCGTTGTTCTGAAGAAGAGTCATTGGATCCGAAACATTGACTCTGCTTTGTCTCCATAGATGCTGCCAGACCTGCTGAGATTTTCCAGCAATTTCTGTTTTTGTTTAAGATTTCCAGCTTCTGCAATTCTTTTTTTTTCCTGTAATTTCTGCTCATAATTTAACTCTGGGATCCAGAAATCATTCTAGTAAATCTACAGTGTACTCCCTCCTAAGGTTTGTTCATCTTTAATAAGATGCCACGTTCAGTACTCCACTTGTGGTCTAACCATGTCTTTGAATAGCTATACCAGCTTTAAACACATATTCTACTCCGCCAGAAATCAAGGAGAGTATTTCATTAGGCTTTGTAATCATTTCCTATTTTTGTTCACAACATTTTAATGATCTGTGTACATGAACATTTAAATCCCTTTGGCCATCTGCTGCTTTAATCTTCCTTTGGCATTTAAATCATGCCGTAGTCTGTTCTTGATTAGTTGAACTCCCAATGAGAGACATTTCACAATGCCAAAAGCAAACCAACTGTATTCAAATAGGGCTGACTTCAGAAACCACTGTAGGGTTAGTATTCCTGACATTAGGCTAGGAAAAGAACTGCCTCACCATACTTCCCATGACTTAGTCATGAAGGTCACCAGAAATAAATAGCATTTTTATATATATAAACGTGTATCTTCTATCAGCTGGCAGGTTTGAAAGATCCCAAGCGGATCTAAATAGACAGATGCCACATGGGGTCCATTTTCACAGATAAAGAGGATAACCACATCTTAGAAGAAAATAATGCATATATTGAACATGAGTAATCATTTTGAAGCAACTCCTAAATCCTTCTGATGTTTTGTTGTTAAGTTTAGAGCGATGAACAGTCACAACTCTGCTGTTTAATTTCTCTGGGGAGAGCAAGTCACAATGTGTTTATTCTTTCTGCAGCAGATGTTCACTAAGAGAAAATCTGGTATGTCTCAGTGCTCAGAAATAGCACTCCGTGAAAAGGCTGTATGGTCACACAACATATTTGAACTGACAAATATGTATGGCAAATTACTGTGTGACTAAATGGTTTTGACAGGCATCACTTGTGGGTTTTTAAAGTGCTTTTGTGCTCTACAATGTCAAATGTATTTAATGTACCTTTGTTAATTTGCAAACTAAGGTGGGGGGGCTAAGAAAATAGAGCTGCTTATTTTACATTATTAGTCTGGATAATGTGATTTACTTTTAGATGCTCAGTACATGTTGGAACAAATCATAAATACTGTTCCCCTATATTGTTCGAAGTTGGAGTTATGCAGCAGAAACAGATTTGACAATGAAAATTATTTTCAGGAAACTGAGGAAAGGTATGGAGTCTGGAACCGAAATAATAATCTATATTATTTCATTACTATTAAGTTACCACCAGTGACACAGTGTGCAGAGGATGAGGTGGATGAATTTGGCAGAGAATATGATCATGAAGCCTGTATCCCTGGAGCATAACAGGGGCCTCTCAGGGCTGTGGTTTGGGGTGACTGGGTTGGGGAGGTTGTGGGGAGTTGTGGGTGGGAGTGCGAAGGAATGGAAAAGGTGAAACAAAGGCAGATGATGCTCTTTCAAAGCAATGTAAATCATCACTTAGGGCACAGTTCATGTTTCAGCCTGAGGATGCTCTGGGTGTGACTACAAACGGCATAGCAAGGAAAACTGACAAAGATGACTGGGATTTGGAATCTCTTTAAATTGAATCAACTATTTTAGTGGAGGAATTGTTCCAAGTTGCATCAGCAGCTCTTCCTCTGGTGGATCTCTATTGTAGGTTTTGAGGGCAGAAATTTTTTGATGTTGCTGCAATTATAATTGAAAATGTAAGCCTGCTTATTGGATTTCTTTTATTTCAGTAATTTGAATAGAAGGAAGGACAATTTTTAATGTAAGCGTCGAGCAGGCTTTGATAAAATGGAGCCAAAAAAGTGCAAAATAGGCTTCCCCAATTTCTAGTTCAGGTGTTGTGAATATTTTGCTTCAAAGTCCACATTGAATTAATATTAAGAAAACATGCATGATGGCACATTTTAAGAAAAAAAAGCACTTCTGTTTTCAATAGGAATATTTTCATTATTTCTAAAATGTATGGTGTTTTTTAGTTTTGGGGAACAATTTTATTTATTCGTCACTGGGATTCATTCATGGGAATTTCTCTATGATTGGTTAGGTAGTACACCCATCAAACAGCTTCTGAATGTCACTCACCCTCTATACCTAGTTTCAAAAGTAAAGAACACTTTGTCAATGATCCATGCTGACTCACCATACCTACGTCATATGTAATCTATTGCAGGACCTATGATTCTAAGTGATGCAGTGAAGATATCACTGGACTACCAATCCAGAACTTAATCCTGGCGAATAAAAACCGAAAATGCTGGAGAAGACCAGACACCTGGCAGCTTCTATTTCTCTCTCCACAGATGCTGCCAGATCTGCTGGTTTTCTCCAGCATTTTCTGTTTTTATTTTGGAATACTAGCATCCACTAGCATTCCTTTTATTTCAATGATTGGGGACAAATATTCAAACTGCTCAATAAAAAAAAACAAATTCTGTGAAAAAATTATTCAAAAAGATCACAGCTGATCCGTTTTTGTTCCCAATTCCACATTCTTATTTAAACACGATAAGCTTGGATTTTCTAGCCTGACAAGAATCTATATACTTCTGCCTTGAAAGTGTTCAATGACACTGCCTCCACCACTTTCGGAGACAGGACTTCCAAGTCACAACTCGCTGAGAGAAAAGGTGTACCCTCAACTCTGTGCTAAAAGTGCAACACCCAATTTTAAAAGTGTCCCTTAGTTCTGGATTCATCCACAAGATGAAGCATGCTTTCCTTGTTCACCTTGTCAAGACCATTCAAGATCTTATAAAATTCAATTAAATCATCCATCAATCTTCTAAACTCCAGTGAAAATAAGCCCAGCCTGTCCAACCTTTCCTGATAACACCATTCATTCCTGGTATCAATCAAGTAAACCTTCCCTGAACCGCCTCCAATACATTTAGATCCTTATTTAAAAAAAGATCAAAACCATACAGAGTATTCAAGACATAATCTCACTAATGCCCCAAAAAATTGAAGCACAAGATTATTTTTATGTTTAATTTCTCTTGTAATAAAAGATACACTCCAGTAACGTTTTTAATCACTTGCTGTCTCTCCATACTGACTGCATACTGACTCATGCACCTGGTTCACTATGCACTTCAGAATTCTGCAGTCACTCACTGTATAAACGGTGCTCTGCTTTTTCATTCTTCCTGCCAAAGTGAATAATTTCATATTTTCTTACATTGTGCTCCATGTGCCAGATTTTTGCCCATTTACTTAACTAATCTATTTTCGTCTCCATCCCTGTTATGTCAACTTCACGAAATACTTTGCCACCTATCCTGCTAATTTAGCCACTATTACCTTCAAATCCCTTATCTAAGTCACTGATATAAATTGCAAAACATTGAGGGCCCAGTACAGACCACTGTGGGACACCACTCATCGCGTTGTGCCAATCTGAAAAAGACTTATGTGGACTCTCTGTTTTCTGCCAGCCCGCCAATTTTAATTCTATGCTGGCATGTTACTCCCCATACCATGAGCTCCAACTTTGTGTAATAACTTTTTATATGAATTCCTATCAAATGCTTTCTGGAAATCAAGGCATGGTTCATCAATAGGCTCCTCTTCATCTACAACACAATGCAGAATGATTACGCTGCAGCTTTTCAGTTCTCTGTCTTGCTTTCCTCCTTTAAAACAGTCCCTAAAAAAATCTACCTCTTTGACAATGCTTTTAATCATGTCCCCAAACATCTGCTAATGTTGCTTGGAGTTATATTTTGTTTCAGTGCATTTCTGTGAAGCACATTGTCATGTTGTATTACTTGAAGCACAATATAACCACAATTGGTGTTGTTGTAATCATAGTCATGAAACAGTAGTGGAAAAAATCAGGAACACAGAATGAAAATAAGAGCTGAGTAAAAATTTTGCATTGTTTTCATTCTGGAAACAGGAATGGCACAAATTAAGTGATTTTAGTTGTCTCCAAAAATAACTCATAACCTCGCTTTTCTACTTTTTTTGTTTCAGGGACATCAAGCCTGACAATATCCTTCTTGATGAACATGGTAAGTTGCTAAATCTTCTCTTTCCTGAGGCTGAATTTTGTGGAGGTAACAGGAGATCTTGGAAGCAGTCGAGTGAGATGGTGGAGGTGTTTGGGTTGTCAGGGGGGTTGTTGTTTCAGGGGCAATTGATCCTATGTCAGTGAGCAGCAGAATCTGGGGCAGTTTCTTGCAGGCAACAGCCAATTAAGTCCCCATTAAGGGTGATATATCCCACCTCAGCACTGATTTCTGTTAAGCCATATAGTTGAGCAGCACTGTGACTCAGTGATCAGCAATGCTGCCTCACGGCTCTAGGGACCTGGGTTCAATTCTAGCCTTAGGGGACTGTCTGTGTGGAATTTGTACATTCTCCCCGTGTCTGTGCAGGTTTCTGCCGGATGTTCTGGTTTTCTCCCACAGTGTGAAGATGTGCAGGTTTGCTGGATTGGCCATGCTAAATTGCTCCATGTTGTCTATGGATATGCAGGCTAGAGGGGTAGGGTGAGAGGCTGGGTCTGAGTATGATGCTAAATAAAAACTGAAAGAACTGCGGGTGCTGTAAATCAGGAACAAAAACAAAGATGCTGGAAGAGCTCAGCAGGTCTGGCAGCATCTGTGAAGGAAAAAACAGAGTTAACATTTCGGATCCGGTGACCTGAGGGAGGTTTGTTTTTGTTCCTGGGTATGATGCCGTTCGGAGGGCCGGAACAGACTTGATGGGCCAAATGGCCTCTTTCTACACTGTAGGGATTCTATGATTCTAGATATAATTCAGTGGACTCACTGTTCCCCTCACAAAAAAAAAACTGAGAGCCAGAACTTTTAAGGTGTTTTGCAAAAGCAGGAAATCCAAGGTACGAATGAAGTTTTTCACACAATGAGTAGTTAGGGTATGGAATTCAATGCCTAGATGTCAGGCATTCAAGAAGGCATTGGATGATTATTACATAAAATCAATATGCAGGCCTCCTGGCTCAGAGGTAGGGACACTATCATTACATGACAAGACCCTTCTACTTCAATATATCACTGACATGACAATTAGATTTGCATCTGAACAAATCACGTTCAGTACTTATATTTGAATTGAGTGGCTTGGTTCCTCCCTCAAACCAGTTGTTGTGGAATCAATTAACAAACAACCACAGGATTGTATTAGATTAAGCTGGGATAAAACCTTTGTGTTTTGAGGCTTGTTTTGAACTCCTTATGCATTTAGGCACAATCTAAGACAATATCATGCTAAATTGGTAGCAGAATGTTTTAGGTTTTGTTACAGCATGTTTAGGCAAATACTATTTTGGGAAATAACTTTGTACCTTATAACCAAGTAGAATAAAAAATATTGCAGGCACCTAGAAAAGGATTCATTGGATGGACTAAGGTAGAATCAGATGTTTGGGCACTTGTTGGGAAAAATGGGAAACATTGAAGACATCTGTTCAATCCACTAATACCGATAGCCAAAATGCAGGAGTCTCCAATAATTCATGGGTCATCTCATAAGGGAATTACTGTAATATTAGGGTTTGTACCAATGTTGTACTTTGTGAGCTGAAGACATTTTTTAAAAAATGATTAGCACAAAAAGCCTGAAGTGTTAGCAATGTAAAAATGCACTTCGGAAATTTTTTAAAAATAGAAATTTCTGATCAGTTACAAATGCCGTTTTTGATAGATAATTATGTATTGTTTAACATGAGAGGACTGAGAGAAAGAGAGGAATGGGTATGGGTTCATGTAGGATTGAAGCAGAAATATGCCTGGTAATAAAATAAAACTGATAATGTAAAGTTAATAGAAAATAAAAATAAATAACCTAAATGGCATCATGACTAAATGGAAATACTTTTGAAATAGAATATTAAATAACCAGTCCAAGCTGGACTAGCTTGTCTGTAAATTGATGGAATTCAATAAGTGACACTGGGTTGATTATTTGAAAGCTATCAGAGGCAGCTCATGAGGTGAGGCACTGATGCACTGCCTCACTGAGAATTGAGAGTGTATGTGCACAACCAGGATTTAGAGGCAGCAGCTCAAAGTCAATCTGAGCAAGATGGAGCCAAGCAGAGGGGCTGTGCTCCACATAGAGTTGGTCAGTAAAATAAAGAGAGGATGCAGGTTTGATGAGGAAGAACAAGCTCCAAAAGACGAGCTGGCTTTGAAAAGTGATTAATGGCTTTCTCTGTTATCTGTTGGGATTCCACTTGCCTTCTTCCTTGACCTGGCTTCCTATGGGAGTGAAAGGCAGCTGTGGACAAGAAAATAAATCGCATTGCACATACTCGAAGTGCCAATTGTGAAGGTATCATGCTGGGTGGTTAAACATCTATTGCTAGAGCTCAACTGTCAGAAAGGTTACTAGTCATCAGTGAAAGATAGTATTGACATTTAGAAAATAGGCAGATGCATTTCTACTGAAGTAAACAGCATTTGGAATAATTCAATGAATACAGTTCATTAAAAGATCAAGTTGCAATTTGGTAGCGTAGCCAGAGGCACAACCTTTTATGTACAGCATTTTGAAAAGAAAATGTTACTTCTTATTTATAACTCAGCAGACTTATAGCTTTCAAAATTAACTATACCTTGAAAAGATAATGCTGTGTTTATTATTTGTTCACAGAAAGAAAAGGGTAAAACACAAATGAGCTATGAAATAATACGCTCAGATGTATTACATGTAGGTCTGTATAAAAACGTGATAGTGCATGCGTAATCTATATTTTCATGAGTATTCAGATAGTATGGCAGTGTTTGTTAATACTACCAAAAACATAGTGTACAACAATGGCAATCTATTATGCAATTGAAGAATTAATAGGCAAGTACAAAAATAGTGATAATTTATATATTGTTTGTGAAAGTAGAGCCAAAACACACATTTAATTGACATGAACATTTGTCATTAAACACTGTTACTTAGATATATACTGCAAGTTCAAGCTTGTAAAATTGAGAGTGGCTATGTTTATGTATGAGGCAGGTATGGACAAATAACACAATTAACACCATCTGCAGGGGGGCTGGTTAGTTCAACGAGACAGTTAGATAGTTAGTTTGTTGTGTGAGATATTGTATTATGATTCTCTTTACTAACGCATTCACAAGTGCTCTATGTTTACTGTACCATGTTTCCATTCACTCGTTCATAAAACCCCATTTTTGTAATACATTTTACTCTTACAAGATAAATTAAATTAAACATCCCTTCCGACCCATTACTGTTTCTTTACACCTTTCAATTCTTATCGGCCCCGTGCTACAAGCAGTGTTTAGACCTGTTTCTGTATCAAAGGCTACCCTTGAATAAGTGTTAATACTGTAACCTACTCAGAACAATGCCATCGCCACCATTGTGTCTCCATAACTCACTTGAAACTGTGGAAAGATTTATAATATTAATTAGACCGCAGTAACCATCTTTTGGGATCTGAATAGTCTGCAAGATATTGAACAGTTTCCTCCACCATCATGTCCCTACAGTCTGTTGCTCTTTATTTCTTTAAAATTTCCTTATACATTACCTATTTCTATAACACTGTACTTACTATTTCTAACTTTTACTTAGGACTACCATCTTGTGCTAACGTGCGGATTTATACTTTACAAATACACATTAAATAGGGCCGCTATCCCCTTTAAGAAACTAATTATCAAAATAGTGCTCCATGAAACTTCATGAATGAACTATCAAAACCGGCAACAGTAAATGAAATCTCACAACCCAGCTGTGGGAGATCAATTTAATATCTTCTATACTTTTATTTAGTACACGTATAATTTCTCACTTATTTAGATCATATAGGACTAGTATTTCTACTAACATTACTAACTTTAAAGACAAAAGGACTAACACCTCTTAATTGTGCAAGTTCAGACCAGACAGACATTCTAATCCCATCAGGAGTAACAGCCAACATTTCGCAAGTGCTTAAACCATCTTCTGGTTCCCCAGGACAGATGTCACACAAACTTGAGTACAATAGATACAACTATGTCACACCATGATGCTAAAATGTTAAGGTATGTAAAAACTGTATAAAAGAGGTAACTGTAAAACTGTACATTGGATTCCATCGCCACCTCAAACTGTGCTACTGTGGATGTTCAATAAAGAGGCTATTTTCGCCACTGACCAGTCTTGGTTGTTATTGAACACAATCCCACAGTGGTTTGATCCAAATTCCACCGAAGCCAAACTTGGAGACTACCTCTTCCTCCTCCTGCCCCATTGTAAAATCACTATGTTATGGCCACCCTCAAATAATCAAGGATGTTATCTGCAGGAGAAGAACACAAATTGTAAATGCATTCCGATGATGGGGTTTTTGATTAAATATCAGATGCTAGTTCCTTGACATTTTTTATCAGCCGAAGTAAATATGAATAATATAGGAGGCATGATCTCATAGATTCAGCCCAGTGAACACTGAATTGTAGAATGTCAATGAAACCAGTGAAGTGTTAAAGAGTGAAATTACATGATTGGAAAGTTACTAAAGGCTAATAATGGTATATGGCTCATTTGCAGGTGTAGAGATCACAATGCATAATGATGCTATACCCAATCTAAGTCATTAGGCCAGTGTAAAACATTTTGCTGCCTTTTCATTCCCATGATTGTGGCATGCAACCCGGTGCTAAACACCAGTTGCTAAGTGGTGGCGAGGGGCAAAGGTCAATGCACGAGTTAAAGCAATGTGACCTTCTTAAAGAGGAGATGCATTCTGGCTGGAGTAGGCTTTGGTATTGTTTCTGCTTGTGTTCTTCACAAGGAAGACAAGTGATGGTTAAACAAGCCGGATAGAAGATTTCCAGGGTCTCCGTGATCCTGACCCTCATCCTGATGATGGAAATAGGATATAGGACATGTTTCTGCAGAGGGCCAGAGACCCTCCAAATCTGCACTTCACAGGGAATAGCAGCAAATGATGACAGAGGTCAATATAGGGACCAAGGGCACAGCTGCATTGCAGTAAAAAATGTTTGATAACCTCACACAAGTGAGGATTTCT